TGGCCGCGGTAACCTAATCCGAGGGCCGAGGCCGCGGAGGGGGGAGGTGTGTGCGCGCCAGAAGGGGCTTCTTCTCCCTTCCCGATTGGGAAGGGAATTGGGTGATGGAGGCGGGGGCCCTCGGGCCCCGGAGGAAGGAGGCCTGTCTTCCACGTCCGCGCCCCGTCCGCTTCTCTCCCTCTAGCAGGCACCGGGGACCGGGACGCGCGCTGCCTGCAGGGCCGGCGAGGCCCAGGGCTGGTTTCGCGGTCCCGGGAGCAAGACCAGGGCGCCCTCCTCCGCTTGCAGCTGGCCCCCGCTAGAACTCCCGCCCCTGGGGCCGCACCCCCGGGGCAGGGGCGCGCACCGGGCCGGATCCTCCCCGCCGGCCTCCCGCCTTGCAGAGCGCGCCGGTGCCGCGCGCAGCCAGCGCAAGGAATCGAATTAAACGCCTCTTGGCGGTTATTGTCTCTCGCTAATTGCTCCGACAATGGCCACTATTAAAAGGGAGACACCCCATTAAAGGCCCCGCCGGGCAGCGCTGGGCTCGGGGCGCCGAGCCGGCCGCCAGCCCGAGGCTTGCAGAGCGCGGGGCCTCGGCCCCCCTCGGGCTCCCGCTTCCTCCCCAGACGTGCAGCGAGCGCGGCCGGTTCACACCGTTTTTATTGACCGGTCGCAGGCAGGGAAGATTGACCGAGCTGCCCCGGGAAGGGCCGCTCCCGCCCCAGCCCCGGCTCGCCGGGGCCTCGCGGCCGCGCTCCGGTTGCTGGGCCCGCGGCAGCCCCGCGCCCTCCCTGCCCCCAGCCCCGCAGGTCCCCGGCTTCGCGTCTGTCTCGAGCATCGCGGCCGGGTCCGCCCAGGCCGGCGCCGCGGCTCCGGGGGGAGGGACGCGGCGTCGCGGCCCGGCTCCGCTTCTTGCTCCCGCCTGCAAATATTTGCTGCTTCGCTGGGAAATCCGACTATTTTCGCGCGCGCTCCGCTGGCAAAGTTCCTTAAGCAAACACGCTCGAACGACCGCCCCAGGCGGCCCGCGGCACGCCCGCTCCCCGTGCGCGGGGCCCCCGGGGCTGGGCTCCCGGGTCCCGGCCGCGGGCAGCGCGCGGGCACCTCGACCCCGCGGAGCTCGCCTGGATGCGCGGGGCGCCAGGCTCGGGTGGGGGCCGCCGGCCCGCGTGGGCCTCGGCTCTCTGGGCCCCGCGGCCGCAGGGGTGAGCTGGGGGCACGCGCCTGCCCGGGGCGCCGCCGCGGGCTCGGGTTCCCGGGCGGGGACGGGGTGGCCCACTTCCAGGGACGGAGCCCCTGCCGTCCCGGGAGGGCGGGTGGGAGGGACCTGCACGCGGGCATGTGCTTGGGGGTGTGTGTGTGTGGGCCCCAGCTCGCCGCCACCGGGGACAGCAAGCCAGGCTCCATTTCTTACCCTTTCCCCAAGAGGGCACACACACCCCACTCAACTTGACGCCTAAAGCAGCCGCCTCGAGGCCTGGCGATGGAGACGGGCCGACCTGGCCCCCGCCGCCCCGCGCTCCTGGGGGGTGGGGGGGTGTCCGGCCGTCGCTCGCCCGGCTCGGGGACGCTTGCCCCCAGGGCCCCAGGCCTGCAGGCCGCTCGCCGACCGCCCCTTACCCTGGTGAGGGAGGCCTCGCGCCCTGCAGGAGCCCGGGGCCCTGCGGCGGCGGCGGCGGCGGCATCCTCCTCCTGGGTCTCCTCGCTTCCTCCACCCGCGCTCCGCCGGCTGGTCCCGGGGAGGAGGGGGCGGTGGGGGCGAGGGCGGGGGCGGGGTGGAGGGGGGCTCGCTAGCCCGGGCCAGGGCCGGGGTGCCTGGGTGCGGAGGGGCCGGCAGGCCTGCGGGAGGGCGCAGAGGCGTCTCTGCAGGAGGCCAGGATGCCGGCCTCGCGGGCTCCCGCGGCGGGGGAGCCTGGACCACCTCCCCCCCCGCCCCCGCCCCCGGGCCCCGAGCCCCCTCCGCTCCCCCGCCCGCGCCGGGAGGAGGAAGCCCGGCCTGCCTGTGCCGGCGAGGCGGGTCAGGCCGGCGCCGGGCCTGGCTCAGACCCCCGCAGCCCGGCTCTGCGCCTCGGGCCACGCGCTGCAGCCGCGCCCCGGCCTCGCTCCCCGCCCCCCGCTGCTGGCCGGCGGCTCCCGGGGCCGACCTCGGCCCTCCCCCCGGGCATCCCCCTCCCCTCCTCTTCCCTGCCCACCCCCCTTCCCTGCGCTCCCGGCTCTGGGGCTGGGCCCGTGACGTCAAACCCAGTGTGGCGTCGGCGAGACTGGCCGGCGCGGGCCATCAAAAGAGCAACGTCCTCTTTCCCAATTACCCACTGTCAGTCCGGGAACAGGGGCGGACCGGCTGGGAATTAAATGTTAAATACCCCCTACAGGCTGGCTCCATTACACCGGGCATCCCGCCGCAGCCCCCCACGCCTCTCGGCCCGCTCCAAACCACCCAGACCTAGGGCCTTCGACATCTTTTATTTTTCCAAGGTGTGGGGAGGAGGTGGGGGCGGGGCGGGGGTGGGGGCGGGCGGCCTCTCCTCCGCGGGGCGGCCGGACCCGGCGCTTTGAATTAAAACCAACGACGCCCGCCCCCCAAGTGCTGCGCGTTCCCGGAGAGGCGCCGCGCCGGAAGGCCTCCTTCTCCCAAATATTTTCCCTTTGTCTTTTAAAATTGTGCTAAACTCACAAGTTCACATTTTCAAGTCCTGGCGTCAGCAGCCCTCCCCCTCCTCCCCCCTCCCCCGTGGATGGCTCCCTTTTTTCCTCTTTTTTCCCCTGGCTCCCAGGTCTCGCCCCAAAAGGCCACCTTTGGGACTCCCCGCGTGGACTTTGAACCGGGTCCGGTCTGGCATCGCCTCGACCCGGGGCTGATGCGCCGAGAAGCGCTTTTCATGTTTATTTTATTTTATTTTATTTTATTTTTTTAATTAAAAAAAATTGTTCTCCCTGTCTGCTCCCATCCTTAATCTTAATCTCGGGGAGTTTGAGCAAAAATGTGTGCGCGCTGGTCTGCCCTTGTTTATGAAGCGGTTTCCGGTGAATGTTAGACAGAAACTAAATAATTAAAAGGTTCGGAGAGCACCGCGAGCAGTAGAGGCTGGCAGCTTGGCTGGCTCTAGAGGGAAGTGGTCAGGGTGAGGGGAAAATCGATGCTGCTTTACTGGGCCGCCCTAATAAACGGGAACTAAATGGGCTCCGGAGAAACCCGTCGCGGGCGGGGCGCTGTGTGTTTCATTTAGGAATCTTCTTCCGTCCGGTATCTTGAAACTCAACGCTGATTTTTTAACAAGCATCAGATTTAAGAAGACGGAGACTCCAAACCCAAGATGGGCAGGACCCGCGTTTCCACCACTCAAATAAATGTCACTAATCTTTCTAAACAAGGATTGTGCATTAAAACGAGGCATCTCTCGCTCGCCCCTACCCCAACACACACACCAACTGAAGGCTGAATATTGATGATTTTACTTGACCTGATGGAACGAATCCTCCAGAACTTACTTTTAGGGACGGTCTCTTCTATTTCGAATTTTTTTTTTTTTGTATTTGTAGAGGAGCAAAGAGGGAATGATGGCTTTCATTCAGATGAGACCCCAAATTCAGCTCTTAGTGCCGTCCGTGGGGGAGCCTGCGGGGAGACCCACACTTTCCTCGCACACAGGGCCCTGGGGTGAGCAGGGGGTGGAACCTGAATCTTCCCCTCCCCGCCTGACCCCTGCTCGCCCCGGCCGCGTTTTCGGGACGGGCGGCTGCAGAAGCCCGGGCGCCGCTAGGGGATGCAGTGGCTCAAAGGACCAGGCGAGGCCGGGGAGGTTGGAGCCCGCGGGGCCGGCCAATCGCGGCCCGGCCGGAGCCTCGCCCGCTGATTGGGCCCCGCGCGGCCCCGCCCCCTCGAGGCCCCGCCCCTCACCGGGGCTTCTGGAGCCGCACCCCCTCCGCCCGGGGCTGCGGGGCCGCGCAGCGCGAGGCCGGGGAAGGTCGCCGCAGTCCTGCCCGCCGGCCGGGACGGGGGTAGGTGGAAGGGGCCGGTCCCTCGGCTGGGGCAAGACCCCGGGGCGCTGGGCGGGGAGGAGGGACAAGTTAGGCCACTGGAAAACAGACCGGAGTTCTTTCTTTGCAACCACTCCCGCCGCTCTTAGGGGGCTCCTTAGCGTCTCCCTCTCTCTCTGTCTCCCTCTCCCTTTCATTTTCTCCCATCACTCCTGCCACTCAAGTGAGAAGCACGCACCGACCCCAAATATCAGGTCTAGACGGGACAGCTGCAACAGCGGGGACCTCCATGCGTGGGGCTCGCGAGCACAAAAGGCTGGGGGGAAACGTTGACGACGACCACCAGGGTCACCGGGACATCCCAGTAAGGGTTACTCCTCTTGCCCCACTCCTCAAGCCTCTTAGGCAATTCTCTCCAGAGGCAAACCTCAAAGGACTTCGGCATTTAAAAAAAAATAATAATACTTTCTGATCCGTGGTATATGCACAGAGCTCCAAAAAAAAAAAAAAAGAAAGAAAGAAAGAAAAAAGAAACAAACAAAAAAAAGCAATCACCTCCCCAAAACCCTGCAATGAATTTAAAAACAAGTTTGGTCATTAAGAGAAAAAAAAAAAAGTCTGAAAAAGAAAGGCCGCCTGTAGAAATGGACTTTATGAATGGGGCAGGCCGGCTTCCCCGGCACGGAATAATCCACCGAGCCGGAATGAATTGGCAGGAGCGGGAGCCACATTTAAAGGGCCAGAGCGCAAATTCCCTCCAGCCCGCCCCCTCCGCCCCAAACCCCGCGGGCCTGGCCCACCCGGGCCGCCGCCCCTGCGCCCCCGGGCCGCCCTCCGCGGCGCCCCCCTTCCGGTCAGTGCAGGGGCGGGAGCTGGGGCGGAGGGGTGCAAGGCAAGGGGGCGGCGGGGGGGGGGGCGGCGAGGTCCTGCCACGGGTTTGGGTTGCAGTTTCCTTGTGCTGGTGATCCTGTCCCCTCCTCGCCAGCGCCAGGCTCCTCCCCCTCGGCGCGGATGACACTAGAACCTCCTTAAGTTCTGTCGCGCCACAGCTGTCTGCGAACACTGAGCTGCCTGGCGCCGTCTTGATACTTTCAGAAAGAATGCATTCCCTGTAAAAAAAAAAAAAATACTGAGAGAGGGAGAAAGAGACAGAGAGAGAGAGAGGAAAAGAGAGAGAGACGGAGAGCGCGCGCGACAGAGCGGGCCACGCAACCTGACCGAGCAGTTTCTGGTCTCCCAGGTCACACTCCTCCTCCTCCTCCTCCTCCTCCTCCTCCTCCTCCTCACTGCTCGCTACCCAGGTTGGTACTGGCAACTTTTATTTTTTTAAGTTTGATTTTTTTTCCCCTTCTTTCTTCTTCTTTTTTTCTTTTTTTCTCTCTCTCTCTCTTTCTTTTTTTTTTTTTAATTTTTTCCCCTCCTTGCCCCCTGTGGGAGGACTTTAACACACTTTAAACCCTGCCGTCCACCTTGGGAGAGTTTCTCGAGGCCTGGAAGGAAGGTCCGGGGATCGCTGTCCCCGCGGAGGGGGTGGGGGAGGGAGGTGGGATGGTGGAGGTGGTGGAGGTGGTGGAGGTGGCGGCGGCGGGGGGCGAGGGAGGGAGCTGTCGGGCCGTTGCCACCGCGCAGCGGGTGCAGGGCCCTGGTCCCCGGGCGGCCGCGTCCCGGTTGGCCTCGCTCGGGAGGAGGCGTGCGCGAGCGCGCGTGTGTGCGCGTGTCCTGGGTGCGCGGGCGCGGGGCCGGGCGGCTCGCGGGGAGGTGGTGCCACTTGATAAACTCAGGTGCTCGAGTACTTAGGAGCTCATCCAGGTCTCCCCCTTCTCTCCTTCGCAGGTGACCCGCGGAGAGCCTCAGCCTCGGAGCCGCTGAGCCAGCCCCGGTGCAGAAGAGCCTCCTCTGCAAAAATTCCAGCCACCTTCGCTCGCCCTCCCCTCTTTTAGAATTTGGTGCCCCCTCCCCTTTATCCTCCCGTGCCTATATATATATATTTTTTTTTTTTTTGGAGTGTGGGGAATTTGCTTTTCCTTCCTCTTCTCCTCTTTGCCAAACTACTGCTCAAATATATATTTTTAAATCCTCCTTTGCTCACCTTTCCTCCCCAGCTCTCCCTTTGCCCCACTGCAAACAGATCACTCGACACCCCCCCCCCGCCCCTCCGACGGCAGGAGCACCTGCAGGGCCTCGGAGCCCCCCGACCCCTCCCCGCCCCGCCCCAGCCCGACCGCCGCCCTCCCTCTCCGCGCGCGGGTTCCGGGCCGGGCGAGAGGCGCGAGCGCAGCCGGGGCCATGGAGGTGACGGCGGACCAGCCGCGCTGGGTGAGCCACCACCACCCCGCGGTCCTCAACGGGCAGCACCCGGACACGCACCACCCGGGCCTCGGCCACTCCTACATGGACCCGGCGCAGTACCCGCTGCCCGAGGAGGTGGATGTACTTTTTAACATCGACGGTCAAGGCAACCACGTCCCTTCGTACTATGGGAACTCGGTGAGGGCCACGGTGCAGAGGTACCCTCCGACCCACCACGGTGAGTGCGCCCCGGGTGCGGGGACCCCCGCCGCGCCCCCGGGAGGCGGGAGCAGGGGGAGCTCGGGGACCGACCGGGGCGGCTGGGGAGACCCAGCGAAAGCCCCCGAGCGCCGTTCCTGCTACAACCTAAAAAGATTGGGGCCCGGAAATGGGCGAGGAAGCAGTCTCGGTCGCCGCGAGAGTGTGTTTTTTAAAAAAGTCGCAGCAGGCGTCTCCCCGCGGCCGGGGCGCCCGGGCCTGGCGCTCACCTGGCGGGCGCCGCGCTGCAGCCCCCGCTCCAGGTGCGGCCGCAGCTCCGGGGGGTCCCGGGCCGCGCGCCGGCCAGACCCGCCCCCGACCTGGTCCCCTCAAAGGGTTCCGCTCCCCCAGGGATCCTGTAGTTGCTTCTGGGGGCGCACAAGGCGGGGCGGGGGTGGGGGAGGAGGGGGTCTCTGTCAGCGTGCCTCAGTTTCTTTTTTTCCCCCTGGCACATTTTTCGGAAAGGCCCGAAAAAATTTTTGATTCACATGCCTTGTGTTTTGGCCTTTCCCCCAGAGCTAGTGCATTCGGTTCCTAGGCAGGTCTGCTGGCCCCTCCGCTCTGAGGGCTGGAATTTTGAACTCTGGTACTTGACAGGGTTTGGTGGAGGGGCTGCTGCCTTAAATGGGACACGTTTGAAGCTAACTAGATTCCCGGCTGCACAGAATTTTCCTGCGTCTTTGCTTTTAGGTTGCCTCATTGCCTGCTCCCGGCAACTCTTGCCTTACTCTGTCCTCCGGCCTACAACAGCCCCAGTAGGCTCCCCAAGAAGATTTAGGATCCACCAGGGTTTCATTTTACATGGGGGGCGATTTCAGCTGTCTTTTCTTTTTCCTTTCCTTTCCTTTTTCTTTTTTTTTTTTCTTTCTCTTTCACCTTGAAAAGTTTAGCCGGGTTCTGAAACATTAAGAAATCCAGCCCTGCGTAGATAGAGGGTTGGGAGGGGTGTGTGTGTGTGTGTTTGTGGATAAAAGCTCTAAGCTTTGCAGCGGGAGTGGGTTCCTAAAGGAGAAATAAAGGCACCCTTCCAGGCGGAGAAAACGTGAGTCGCTCTTGGTCCGGGCGACCGAGGTCTTCCCTGGTCCCCCGACTCGGAGCCTGACTCGGCGCCGATGACGGAGCCCCTCCGGCAGCAGGCGTCGTCCGCCCTGCTGTCACCAGGTTTTAAACAATCGTTTCTGCGGATGGGGCGCTCTTTGCCCTCGTTCTGTGCAGATCAGCAGTTAAGTGGAAATGTGGTAGATGCAGACTTAATATTATTTACTATACTACTTCCTGCATAACATGAATCTTGACCCTTGGCGTTCAGAGAACTCTCCTTCCTCCTCCCCTCCCCTTCCTCTCTCAAGATTTTAGTTTCAGTATTGTTCTTAATGGTTAAATAGAATGTCAAATGCTGAGGCAGGTAGTGGATTAAAAAGATCAATAAGTGTGTGGATTTGCGCCCGCAGTTTGCATTTGCCCCTCTCGGGGTGTATGGACTTGCCGGAGGGATGGCCAGTCCTAAAACTGTACATTTCGCATGCAGGCGTTTTAAATAGGCTCCGTGAATAAGGGAGATCTGTACAGACACGGGACTTTTGTGTCGCAGGGGCTCAGGTGAAAACCCACGCTTGGCACCGGTGGAATCACAACTTTGAGGGCAAGATGGGGTTTACTCTGTTTTTCTTCTCTAGGATCTGGGAGGGTCAGAGAGGCAGGGTCCTGCCTTGGAAAGTTCCTCCAACAGTTTGGGCAGTTAAAATGCCCTTGCAAATCCCATTTCAGGCCTTGCCAGTTATGAGCGAGCGCCCAGGCAGGGTTACTTGAAGGTAACCCCCAAATGCTCCCTCTTTTCCCTTGCAAGCACCCTCCTTCCTGGCGCTGGGCCTCGGGAGCTGGGCCTCTCTCTGGGGTCCGTGTATTTTCCTGGTGTGGAGCAGTTGTGCGGCCAGGCTCACCCCATCAGGCCTCATTATTCACAGCCCAGCCAACTCTTATCGGGGCCGGCTGGGATTAGGTCTGGGATGGGGGCCGCTGGGCCATTGAAGGAAACCGATAAATCAAGTCAGGTTCCAGAGAGGGACCTCAGGGGATGCCATTTAGAAAGTCTATCTGGAGAAACCGAATAAGCCCAGCGGCTCTCCCCACTGCCAGCGGGCACCTCCTGGGTGTCGGGCCCAGGCCCTTGATGCTGCTGGATTGCAGGGGACGGTGGGGTGGGAGGGAGGGGTATACGGGGTGTGCTGGCCAAGGTAGGGGAGGGCCGGCCTGGACTGAGGCGTGGGCCTGTGGCCAGGTGCAGCGAGTGTCAGGGCTGCCCCGGCTGGGAGGCCGGGTGCAAGGGGGAGAGCCGCCGGGGTGTCTGAGGGCCTGGGGAGCTGCTCTCACTGGCATTTCTCTCTCCTGCCTCCCCACCCCCCTCCCCGCGCAGGGAGCCAGGTGTGCCGTCCGCCTCTGCTGCACGGATCCCTGCCCTGGCTGGACGGCAGCAAAGCTCTGGGCAGCCACCACACCGCTTCGCCCTGGAACCTCAGCCCCTTCTCCAAGACGTCCATCCACCACGGCTCCCCGGGGCCCCTCTCCGTCTACCCCCCGGCCTCATCGTCCTCGCTGTCGGCGGGCCACTCCAGCCCGCACCTCTTCACCTTCCCGCCCACCCCGCCGAAGGACGTCTCCCCGGACCCGTCCCTGTCCACCCCGGGCTCGGCCGGCTCGGCCCGGCAGGACGAGAAGGAGTGCATCAAGTACCAGGTGCCGCTGCCCGACAGCATGAAGCTCGAGTCCACGCACTCGCGGGGCAGCATGACCACCCTGGGGGGGGCCGCGTCCTCGGCCCACCACCCCATCACCACGTACCCGCCCTACGTCCCCGAATACAGCTCCGGACTCTTCCCGCCCAGCAGCCTGCTGGGGGGCTCCCCCACCGGCTTCGGATGTAAGTCGAGGCCCAAGGCGAGATCCAGCACAGGTAGGAAACTTCTCTGCCCCCCCTCAACCCCCTGGGGCAGGGGGCCCGGGAGGGGGGTGCCTCTGGCCTCCTCCCACCTCTCCTCCTCAATCCGGGGCAGGGAGGAGGGAGCTGGCTGGTGTTGCAGACCTTTCCTTGCGAGATTTGCTTTCTTCCCTTTCTTCCAGCGGGGTGGGGAGGGGAGGGGGGCAAGAATGAGGTGTGTCCTATCTCACTGCAGTTCTGGGAGCAGAGGGGAAGTGGGATCTAATTTACACCCCCCCCCCCCCACCACCACCGTGAGCTGGGAAGGAAAGAGACAAACAAAAACAAATACCCTGTCCTGCCTGCTTCGGGACCTTTGGGTTCTTCCAGTAACCTTTAGCCAGTTTCCAAGACCAAATGGAAAGCCCAGGGAATAAATCTTTAGTGTTTAATGCTAAAACGAAACCTCCTGGAACCTAAACAAACACAGGTCCCTCCTATGACCCCCCTGGCCTCTGCGGCCGGCCCGTCTGTTCCTCCGGACTCAGCTCAGAGGGGGTCATGCAGGCAACACAGGACAGCGCTGTGCACAGACAGGGATAAATAAAGCGTGTGTCTGTTTTTGTGGAGGGTGGGGCGGTGGTGGGTGGTGGTGCAGGCAGGACCCTGGCAAAAGCAGCAGGCGTATGTATTCTTTGCGTGGAAGAGGGGGACCGTCGCCCTAACTTCTGGGAGAGAGGTAGGGTCTGTCCCCCCAGGGGCGACTGGAATGGAAACAAGCAGTCCAGTGGGCCAGTCACCTGTGGTGACGGCACAGGCAGGGGCAGGACGTCTTAGGACCTATTCCTCGACCCGGAGCCGCAGCCAGAGGAGGGAGGGAGGACTGCACGACGTTCCCCAGGTGTGGGTCTCCGCTTCCTCTGCTCATCCTCCCTCAAAAAAAGCACCCCCTGTCTAAAAGCGCGCTGCATCTTTCTTCCCTGGGTGCACACACTTGCTTTAGAACCAAACACCAAACCCATACGGAATACATGTTGGCTTTCAAAATAAAACAGGTCATCGCCAATCTTCCTCCTAACCAGAGTGGTGGAGAGACCTGGGGATTCTCTCCCATGCGATTCAGCTGTATTTTAAAAGGCGGTTTTTCGAAGATTGTTCTGTCTCCCTGGGTGGGTCCATTTTGGGGGGGGGGATGTGTGTCTGTCCTGGCTCATTCCAACGTGTCACCTCTGCCCTCTACCTATAGAGATCCTACGTACAAAGCAGTGGTGAAAATCACTTGTCTTGGATGGGTGGGCCGAGCCGTCTGGAAACCGGGTTTGCAAAAAACCCGGGTTGAAAAAACTTCCGAGGGAGGGCTCTGGGAGCCCAGTGACCATGAGATCAGTTTGCAGGGTTTTTTTTTTTTTTTTTTTTTCCAGGGTGACATTCACTCCAACTGCCTGGGCAGGACTGTCTCTATTTAGTTGATATGTTTTAGCTAATCCAATTATTTTCAGACTGCTGCACGCGACAGTTGCATTGTTTATCCCGCGCCAGGAACTTTAATAGAGTCCGGATGCGGTTAGGCTGACAGAGAAACTCAGACCTGCGTGTTCAGTACATGAAAGTCGGCAGAGGGAGAGGGAGGTAGGCTAGCTGGTGGAGTCAAAGAGAAAGCGAGGGGAAGGGAGCACAGGCGGAGAGAGCGGTGGCCGCGCCGCCTGGCCGGGGGCTGGGCCCGGGCCTGGGGGGCAGGGTCCCAGGGAAATGGGGTTCAGCTGTCCCTGGGGTGGGGGTGGGGGACCCGGGCCCAGATCAGGCCTGGAGGACTGCTTTGCCAAGAGAGCAAACCGATGCACGTTGAGGTAGCGATGGGAATTTTTGTATTTTTTTTTCTTTGGTTTTTGTATTTTAAAGTTCTCTTTTCTGGCAGCGCAGAGTTTTGGGGGGAAGATCGCGGTGGCCGAGGCCGGAGTGGTGGTTAGTGTGGAGGAGGGGACAGGACGACTTTTTGGTTTCTCTCCCCTCCGGGTGCACACACCTTGGGCTGGTCTTTCCCTTTCTCTCACTCTTTCCTTCAGCCCCTGAGCAGTTGGGGGCGGGGGGTGGGGAGGGAGGAGAGAGGAGCTGCACTCCCCCTGCGCCAGAACCAGAAGCGGCCTACGGACCTCATCTATCGTATTTTTTTTATTATTATTTCTTTATTTTTATTTTTTGGTAGGTGGGGAGCGGAGGGCAGACATTGCCATTTGGCTCTTTACTTCCTCCTTATTCCTTTCTCACAGTCAGAAACCCCAAAGCAGCACACCTGGGCAGCCAAGGAGCTGGGACTTTCGGGAGTGTGGGAGTGGGGAGGAGGGTTTCTAGACCCTTCTGGGTGGAGACGGTGGAAATGGCACAGTTCTTCAGGGAGTTCTCTGGGGTTTAGGGGTTTAGTGGTTGCTGCCTTTTTTTTTTTTTTTTTTTGAACTCTGTGCAAATGCACTTGCCGAAGGTGGAGGCAGGAGGAGAGAGGGCTGTCGTCGCGTTTTGGAGAAACGGTTGAGGCGGTGGTTAGGGCACCTAGTGCCTCTCTGAGGCCGCCGCCGGGCTGCCGGTGCCCGGGTCCCTCTGCAAACAAAAGAGAAAAGTCTTTTAGCCAAGGGCCCTTCCGTGGCTGACCTGGGCCTCCTGGGACGTGGGCACCTCGGCCCACCTTCCCCTCCGCAGCCTCCGGCCCTGCTCCTCCCCTGCCCCTTCCAGCCGGGCCCCAGGATTTCAGCTGGAGGCCCAGGGGGGTGCTTGAACGTGGCTGTCGGGTGTCGGGAGGCCCCGCGGCTCGGTGGCTCTCCTGTCACCTAAGACAGAGGTGCCTGTGTGAGCCGCTCCCGCGGGCAGAGAACGGGGACGCGGAGAGGGGGCAGGAGGCAGCCAGGGCCTCCGTTAGGGAAATGGGTGGCTTGCTGAAGTCACAGACTAGAGGCAACAATGAGAAAAGGGGGGAAAAATCAGCAAAAGCCAGCCGAGGCAATCGCGCAAACTTGCGGAGTGAATCAAGATAGAAAATTGCTCTAGTGTGCAGAGCCTCGCGGGAGAGGCAAGCGTGGCGTGTTCTGAAGGTCCCTCTGAAAAGGAAGCTGTCATCCTCCCTGCTGCCTGACAAAGGAAAGGAAATCAGTCTCATCACGTCAGGGCCAGGAGATCCCCCAGCCCCGGGTGCCCAGGAGCAGGCTGGCAGCCCCACGCCAAGCCAGCTTTGGCGGGGACCGGCCGGGGATCCACCCCACCGGAGCTGCAGCAGCCAGCCGGGGGAGGCGGGAGCCAGCCCAGCAGGAGAGGGACGCAGTGACCAGGGACCCCAGAGGCCCCCCCGCCTCGGCGGATGGGGAGGAGGCCTGGAGCCCCGGTGTCGCTGCCCCCCCCAGAAGGGGCTGCCCCGGGGCCTGCTTGGGGCACTGGGGCTGCAGGACCTGCTAGCCCCCTGGCTGGGCTGCAGCAGCCCCCTCCTTGCCCCCTCGCCCTTGCCTCTTCCTGTGGGCCCAGGCCACAGGCTTCTGACCCCCCAGTGGAGGGGGCCTGGATATAACTGAGTCCCCAGCCTTTTTTGAGGACTGTTAGATACTGTTGGGTACCTGGACATATGCTCCTGGCTCGGCTCGGTTTGTGAATAATGCCAGTGGCTCGTGGGAGGCTCTCTGTAGACCCTGGGTTGAACAGCTTTTTGGAATTTGGGGGGAAAAATATATATCATTTCTCTTAACTCCTTACATACTTTTTTTTTTTAAAAAAAGAGGAAAGTAGACAAAAACTACCCAGCACTATTATGAACTCCAGTGTCCAGCAAAGCCCTCCATTTCTGAAAGTCTTTTTCTTCCCCAGAACCTGTCCCTGGAGAAAAGAACAGGCTTACAGGTGTGAACCCCCCCTCGTCCTTCATTCTTGGTCAAGGGGTTTCCCAAGGCCAGACGGGTCCTGGGGCCCCCAAGCCAGAGGGCATCATCCAGATTCCCAGGCAGCCTGCCCGTTCCCTTCCTCCGCCCGCCCTGTCTTCCTGGTACTTTGGAATTAGCCCATGAATCTCAGAAAATGCAATAACCCTTAGGGGCTCATCTCTGCCCCCTGCCACCCTCCCAGACCTCTCTCCTGGCACCCCCCAGGGAAAGTGAAACCCTCTCCTGACTCCTCCTCTTGGGAGACCAGCTCCACTGAAGCCCCTGGCTCTCCCAGGGTCGCCTGTGGGTGGGGGAGCAGGGGCGGGGTGTGGGGTGAGCCCCTCCCAGTCTTTCTGTGTTGGCGGAGACGCTGGTACATGCCCGCCAGGACGGTGAGCCCCCCCCCCAGAGGTGGGCAGGTTCTCCCACAGAAGTTGGAAAGAAATCAGTGAGCAAACTCCCCCCACCGTGGTCCTAAAATGGTATTTTGAGCGATTCTCTCCAGGAGCTTTCCCTCCGGAGATGGGTCTGGGTCACTCTCCCGCCCCTGGAGTGAACCGGCCTGGCCGGTTTTTTTGTTTATTTTGTTTGTTTGTTTTTTTGGAAAAAGAGCAACTGCAGGAAGGCCTTGGTTAATGAGCTGACCCAGAGGCCGCCCCCCCTCCTTTCTTTAATTGGCCTTTTCTCCTGATCTGCTCCTCATGCTGCTCCTTCCAAACGTGCCCTCCTTCTCCTTTTCACCCGCCAACATCTCCAGGGGGTTCCCTCCAGCACCTCCTGGCCTGCTCCAGCTGGGGTCCTCCTTCGCCTTCTGCGTAGTCACCATGGGGCTGGCACATCATAGAAAACCTTGTTCTTTTCTAAGAGAGGAAAAAGGTGGTGGGGGTGGGGAGGGGAATGAGTGGACCCCACCGGGTCTTGTCTATTATTTGCCAGCCGGGGACACCTCCAGTTGTATTGGAAGTAAAATCTAAAGCCTCAGGTCCTGAAAATCAATCAGCCAATTGATGAATCTATTCATCTATTTATTATCTGTTTATCTATCTAGCCATCGATTCATCTTTCCTTTCCTCCCGGTCCTAATCTTCAGGATCCCATCGATCCCTATAGACAGACCCCAGGATGATAATGGGGCCCCTTTTGTTTTCCTTCGAGGGAGGAGGCTGAGGAGGATGTCTTGCCGGGTCATGGTCCCGTCTGGACTTAGGATTTTCTCAGGGAATTATTTCAGGTTGCAATTTGCCTTCCTCCTTGGCTGCGCAGGATCTTCCCCATCGAGTTAGGCAGGCCCAGAGCAAAGTTCTGGTGCTGGTTATTCATGAGCCACTTCTTGGGGCGGGAGCTGAACGTGTAAGGCAATGGTTAAGCCATGACAGGGCCAGACGGTGACTCTTCCCCACCTGGGAGCCACCTTAAGGGAAGTGGGGGCTGCGGCTGCAGCAGTGGTGGTGGTGGTGGTGGCAGCGGTGGTGCTGGAAGTTCCCCAAAGGAGGGAGCAGAGAGGGGGGAAGAAAAAAGTTCCCAATGTTACTTTCATTCCCTCCTTCTGCGGGCTGTTGGTTTTCCTTCCATAAGTGACTTATGTGTGATCTTGTTTCCAGAAGGCAGGGAGTGCGTGAACTGCGGGGCCACCTCAACCCCGCTGTGGCGACGGGACGGTACCGGGCACTACCTGTGCAACGCCTGTGGGCTCTATCACAAAATGAATGGACAGAACCGACCCCTTATCAAGCCAAAGCGAAGGCTGGTGAGTTCGAGGAACACTGATCCAACACTGACCATTGAGTGTTTTTAATTTCCTCTCCTCAGGAAGGAGAGCTTTCTGCAGGAAATTGGCAGGACAGCTCAAAATCATGTCAGCTTGCTTGGGATGATCCCCCCCCCCCCCGCCTTTTTTCTTTTCTCAAATTAGATAGACAGCAAAGAAAGTTCTCTCTCCTTCTCCCTCTCCTCTTTCTTTTTTCCCCTTTGCCATTTCCTAAGTCGCTCGCCCCATTTCTAAGCATGCTGGCTTTTTGGTTAGCAAATCTCTGATGTATCTGCAAATAGAAGGAGAGCTGGACTAGGACCAGGGCAACGAGTTCAGATTCGTGGGTGTGATCACTGTGCCACGGACGGAGAAGTGTTGGGTGCAGATGGAACGGGCCGGGCACCTTCCAGGACAGGTCCCTAAGTGGCAGGTCCCCGAGGAAGTGAGCACACTTTGTGCCACGGAGGGGTCTCGTGTGCCCAGGCTGTATGACTGATGGGGCCAATTAGCTGAATCCCACAGACAGCAGCCACTGGATCTGGCTGAGGTTTTCTTCTTTCCTGGTCTTCAGGGTTGAGGGCTTTCTGCAGCTCATGACTTTGGGGGGTGGGGTGTGGGGGAAACCGTGTGATTCCTGCCTTGCCTCTTGGTCTCCTGTAACATTTGGTCGTATTTTCCCTTTGAACTACTGCTTGGGAGGGTGATGGTTTGTAATCCCCTCCTTCCTTTTTTCTTTAAACTTCTCTCAAGCCACAGGAGTACTCTGAACTATTTAGAAGGGGAACTAGCGGGAGAAGTTCATTTGTGAACTTGTTTTAGGTACCTCGGGCTCGGATTGAGTAGCAAGTGTATGTAGCAGACAAATAAAAGCAGGCTTGGCAAATGATAACCCTAACCACAGTCAAGAGATCAAAATGCTTTTTGTGGTGATGACATTCACCAAGTAGAGAGGGGAGGAGGTGAATTTTCTCATGCAGATTAATGGATAAAGCAGCATCCATCAAATTCTAAGTGTGTGTGTGTTGTGTGTGGGAGAAACAAATCCTCTGTGTTCTTTTTAAAGAATTATTTGTCATCTCCATCAGATTTTAGCGCAACTCAACACCTTTCACATCCTTTTCAGAAGAAGGAAAAACTTTCTAGGGATAGAAATGCCCACGTGACTTTAATTTTTTTGGCAATCCTCTCCCTCTCCCGGCTTTATTCCTTCTGATCTTTGCACCCTTCTCAGCAGTTCTCAACCTCCCCCCACTCAGTCTCCATGCACTTGGGTATTTTTTTTTTTTCCCTTCTCTCATGTGCAAAGCTAACTTCCTAGGAAAAAGCTGCCGGATATCTGAGCACTGGAGATAACTCATAAACAACAACCCAGCTTCCCCAACCTAAACATCAAGATGTTTGAACGTATCAGAACAAGACGTGTTTGAAAAAAAAAAATGGCTGGAGGTGTTAGCACAGAATGAATATGATCACACCACAAAAGAATGCTCTGAATCACTCAAAACCTGGCCTTAGTAAAAAAAAAAAAAAAAAAAAAAAAAAAGAAAGAAAGAAAAAGAAAAAGAAAAAGAAAGAAAAGAAAAAGGAGAGGGAAAGAAACAAAACTAACAACAAAAACTTAATTCTTAAAATAAGTCATGATACCATCCTGATAATTGGACTTTTTTTTTTTTAAGGTAAAAAAGAATAAGAACAAAGAGGGCATAAAGTCTGAGAGTATGGGCTGGTTGATGAGCAAGAGTGCATTTGACATTTTCTTGGGGTTTCTTCTGTCTGGGCTGATTGTTGCATAGGAGGGCTCTACTTGCATTTTATATAAGTTTGTCTTTATTCTCCTTTCATAAGAAATCTCTAGAACTCTGAGTAATAATTGCTTTTAATTCTGGTGCTCATTGGCTGTCACATTTTAAGCTGTCTTTTCTTTCTTACTCATCCGTTCTGAGTGGTTTTATGTTTTTAGTTCCATGGAATTCATATGCTCCAGAGACCGACTCAGAGCACAGTCAGGATATCATGTATATATTTTTTAGCCCTTAGATGCGTTTGACTTCTGAGTTACCTAGAACTTTCTTTTTCTTCCCTCTATATTTCCTGCTCCTTCGGGCCAGCTCCACCTCCCCACTTTGCTCCCTTGGCTGTGCACGTTTGCAGATTCACCGAAGACCACCGGGCCCAGAATGTGGCTAGCTCTTCCGAAAGATGCATATCTAACACTGAATAAACTCATGCAGGAAATAGAAGAAATGACTGGAGAGAAGAGCCATAAAATAGAATTTTTTTTTTCCGAGTGTTGCCAGGGTTTCCGTATGTCTGATGGCTAGCTGAGGAGAGCCTGCTTTATTAATGTACTTTGTCTCCTGCTAGAGAACCAAACAGTGTGGCTTTTAGAGGTTCTGTATAAATTCGCATCAAGTCTGGGGACCGGAGATGTATGCTGAGGCCGCTTTACGTATTTATGTTACTGTCAATATTACTGGGAGGGACTGTACCAGGAACCTCATTGCTTGGGGCTCGGATTTTAGCCGCTGGCATTCTGGGCTCGTAGTACACATTAGAAGTTGCTGAGCTGGGAAATCTGGTGCCTTGAGTAGATATTCATCGACTGCATCTGAGTATCTGTTCTAAAGAAAAAAAGTACAGGAAGAGAAAATGATCACATGATAACATCGTTGTCAGAATCATTAAGGCCTGATTTTACGTAGCAATTTCTTCCCTAGAGGATATGAGTGACAGGTAGGTCAGATGCAGCTCAGTGAGGTTCTTGAAGGCAGGTGGGCGCAAACGTGCGGTGCCAGAGGCGGCGGTGCCTCCGCGATTGTGGTGAATTGTTTCCAGAAGGGACGGCCAGAAAGTTAGAGCTTTCTCAATCATGACAGAGAAGAGCTGTTTTGACTTCTAGGTGTTTTTTTTTTTTCCCCAGAATGCAGAAAATAATCATGGGGTGTGTGGGGGGGAAGCCATAGCTCTGCTATTTAAGCTTGTAGGAAAGAGAAGCATATCTGTGGGACGGTTTAGTGGTTTGAAGGGAACAGAAGCAGTCTGCCTAATTCGGAATAACTACCAGGTTTTTCCCATATCTGGCAGCTTTGGGTGTTTGGCCTAACTTTTTGCTTGATGAAATATTGATGGAAAAAAAAGAAAAAAGAAAAAGCACAGCACGATCCCTATAGTTTTATCTCGGGCTCTTTCATAAACATGCCAGAATTTTCTAGATCACATATAGCCGATCTCTCTCTCTCTCTCTCTCTCTCTCGACTTTGGTAAGATATTTGAGTCCAGAGCAGGGGCCTACTTTCTCAGTTAAAATTGCCTTTTTATGTTGGGGGAGGGGGTGACGGATTGACAGGGGTATACGTTAAAAGGGACCCAACTTCATTTTCTGTAGAAAGTGTTTGAGTTTAAATTTTTTTTTTTTTAAAGTGTGGACATAGGGACTCGTACCCTCATAAATTTAAGTGTGTCAAAAAGCGAAAGAAAAAAAATCTCCCTCTTAAAGGAAATGAAGGCAGTGACACAATCCGATAATTAAAATTCAAGCTGAGTCTGACATCTGACCTGCAACTCTTGTGCTCTCTGTGAACAGCAAATAGGAAATACCTAATTTCACGAAGGTGAAATGAGATGAGAGCAGGACGGGGTGGGTGGGTTCCTGTTGATTAGCAGAATTCTTCATTCTTTTCAGTTTGTCTCATGAACTGAAAGCCACCTAGAGAGAATGAGGGTGGCGGTCACCAGGAGTGACCGAGCCTGGAAGGGACGGGCCGTGCAACCGTAGGGCCGCTGCACGTTTGCTGGAGTCTTGCTCACGAGGCATGTCCTGCCTGGTGATTCCTGGATGGCACGTCCTGGGGGTGCACGGCCCCCCACCTCTGACACAGGCACGCGTGCTCTCGGACCATGCTGGCCCTCTCTTCTCTTTCTGATCCAGCATTTCTTTATTTGGGAGCTGTCAAGCGCTCCCCGTGTTTGGGCTTGCTCTTCCTCCGCTGTCAGTGTGTCGTGATGGCCGGTAGCCTCCTTGAGGATTGAGCTGGGCAGTTGCCCTTGAAAGAGGCCTCCTGTGAGTCTGGTGGACCAGAGGTACTGGGAGCCGAGTCCCTAAAGAACGTGGTTAATTCAGGGTCGCTACCCATACACATTACACATCTGGCGAACTTTGCTGGGTGAGGCTCGGGCAGGGGGGTCATTAGCTCGGGGAGGTGGCGCTGGCTCTCTGAACTATCCCTTGCTGCCCATAGGACGGCAGGCTGAATTCTGAACCCCTTGACGACAGTCTGACAAGCTCCTATGCCAGTGGATTGGCTGAATTTTTCTTCTTGAGGCAGCTTTTGGGGATCTTTATTACTTTCATGTGGGCCACTTGCTAGTTTTGATTTCAATGATAATTTTTTCTTTTTTCCTTTTCCTTTTTTTTTTTTTTTTTAAAGTGTGTCCCCGTAGTTCTGAAAACACATTTAACATTTGCTTTGATTTTACCCTCTCTCCCCACTCCCAGTCGGCAGCAAGAAGGGCAGGGACGTCCTGTGCGAACTGTCAAACCACCACTACTACCCTCTGGAGAAGAAATGCCAACGGAGACCCCGTCTGTAATGCCTGTGGGCTGTACTACAAGCTGCATAATGTAAGTGTCCTGGGCCCAGGCCCGGCTCCTTTCTTGGGGATGCCCGGGAGACGGTGTCTCCTGCTCCAGGTCCCCTTCTCCATTCGATCGCCCTCCTTTGGGCCAAGTGCTCTGTACCCCATGGCTGTGCTGAGCCCGGAGAGTGTAGGGCAAGGAGGGACCCCATGGCCCCAGGTCCGTGTGGAAAACACCACGATGCCACCATCCAGTGGCCTGAGGTGGGCCTGGCCTGGGCTCTCCTGTCTTCCCTTTGGAAAACCATTCTATTTCAATGTTTCCTTGCAGTGGAAACTTTTTGCAAAAGAGGAAAAGAGAGCAAGCAAGGGAGTGGAGGGGAAAGGTGTATAGAATTGGGTGGAATGGTGTGCGGGGCCCACGGAGTGCTGGGACAGGATGGCTCTGTCACTGGGGGGCAGGCAGGAGGCTCGCTTAGGCCGTGTTATGAATTTTAAATGGACTCTCTGTGTACAAGACGTGAAACGAAATGTCTGGCCGATTTCATCAGACGTCTTGGTCCTCCCCAGCAGAGAAGGGACGACAGCAGCCGAGTGGGGTTGTCCATACCAGGGAAAAGAAACTCTTGTCTCCTCTTCTCTATCATCTTTTCGCAGAATGAGAATTCCCAGCCAGGATTTAGCTGTGTCGTTTCCAATCTTTTACTTGGGGGTCCTCCCATTTTGTAATATCTTTATATTAAAAAAAAATCAGGGTTTTTTGTTTTCCTGAAATAACTCTGGCTGACAGGCCATGACCTCCTGAGGCCTGCAGTTTAATTAATTCCAACGAAGAAAAAAATTGCCATTTCTCTTTCTCCTAAAGTTTCCTTGCCAATCTGACTCTGGCAAAGTCTGGGGCTGAATGGGGAAGAGGCAGGGCTTTTTGCTCAGGGCCATTCTGGCAGCGAGCTCATCTTACCCAGGCATACCTGGGAATCAAGAGGAAGCTTTCCTGCTTAGATTTTTTTTTTTTTTTTTTGAGGCGCAGGAGCATTTCTCAGGGTGATCCTACCACCCTCTTCTCTCTTTACCTTTTGGGAATACATTGCTGCCATGTCCAGGGACCCCCGTGACACTCACGGCCCTGCCTCCGGGGTCATCCCCTCCTGACACATCCCCTCCTGGTCCCTAACAGAACTGGTCTTACCAGTCACCGTCTCTGGGACCCTCGGATGGACGGCAGCCTCCACCTGTTTGTCAGCAGTGCAACCCGAGTTCTGTTTTCACTTTGGAGAGTTGACTCCCTCGTCGCTGTGCAGACAGATTTGTGATCAAAATCTGGAAGATTTGGGGCATCCGAGTTTTACGGGCTACCTGGCCATTGCCACAGCCTCACCTGATTGTTTTTGGCTGTAATTTCTGGTTTTCAAAGAACTTTCGGGTTGCTTGATTACATTCGAGCCTCAGATCGCCCCATGATGCCGACAGGACAGAAGTTGATTTCCGTTTTACTTGAAGAGGTTATGACTCAGACAATCGAGTGTCTTGTGCAAACCAACTTGGCCAGTGGAGCAGAAGAGCCGAGACTGGCCTGAGAGCGGCCCAGGCCTTCCGGGGAGGTTGGGGGTGTGAGGACTGCTAGGGACCAGTGGAAAGTAAACCCGTTCTCCCTTCAGGATGTACCCGGGTTCAATTCGAAGTAATGAATTGGCCGCATATAGATCTTTCTTTCCTCTGCGCATAGGAGTGCGGGGGAAACGAACCAGCCCTCAATTTCAGGGGCTCCTTAGCCATGACAACATAGGGTCTTGGTTGTGTCCCATCTAAAAAAAAAAGAAAGAGGGAAAGTTCTAGAGGATATACCAATTTTTCTCAAGTCTTCACTGCTCTTTCTCTCTCCCACCCCATCCTTAATGGGCTCCCGACTTCGTGGCTGGCGGGGAACCTTGCTCCCCAACAACTGGTCTTTCCACCTTCCCTGCTTTAGCGAGGCTTCGCAGAAGGAGGCGACTTCTGTGTGCTTGGCGACAGGAGCTTATAACCTGCGAACGGTCTCGTGGCGTCGTGTGTGTTATGCCCACCGGGGTACCCGTGTGCCCACGCTGGGAGTTAGTTCCTTCCTCCTTATCTAGGTGTTTCGATAACTACCTATCGCAGGATCAGTGTATCTAGGTGGTGTTGAGACTAGTTATCTGGGGTTGTGCTGCTATCTGTGTAACTAGATATTATATTTAGATATCTGGCTGTGTATATCTAGATATCCGCGTAAAGAGCTGTGTGTCTAGACATTATCTTGGGGGGAGATTTGATGTGACAGTAGATTCCTATCACCTCTGCAGGCTGCATCTTTATCTTGATTGTCACTTTGAAGGAGGAACCCTGAGATGTTCTTTTGGCAGTGACCTTTTAGCTCTTCTGCTTTCCTGGCACCAGGGGGACCTGGGTCTCAGCTCTGGCATGGGGTTCGGTACCCCTCTTTGGGGCGGCCTCTCTCAGCTCCACCCTGGGAAGCTGTGGTCTGCTGCTCCCAGAAATGCTGTTGGCAGCCTTTTGCTCTTGGCCGTTGGATTCTATCTTCCTCCTTTTTTTTCTTTTAAAAGATTTTATTTATTTATTCATGAGAGACACAGAGAGAGGGGCAGAGACACAGGCAGAAGGAGAAGCAGGCTCCAAACAGGGAGCCCGATGCAGGACTTGATCCCAGGACCCCGGGATCAAGACCTGAGCCGAAGGCAGATGCTCAGCCACAGAGCCTCCCTGGCGCCCCTCTGTCTTCCTCCTTAACTCTCCTGTTCTAGCTTGTGGAACAGACTGGTAGGTCCTGGAGACTGGAGAGCCTCTTCTCTTCCTCCACCCCCGAGGACCCAGGTGGAAGAGGATGCTTTTCCCTAAGGAGTCAGAATGACTGGGAGGGACCCTGACCTTCCCTCCTCCAGATGTCTTGCCTGACGCATGGCCAGATGTTGTGTGGTTTGCCGTACGGGGCAGATGTGTGCCGTTGAGGTGACTCGGATTCTGACTCGTTGTGGGGAGTGAGCTCTGCTTGCCTTGTCAAGGCCCCTCTCTTGATCCTACCTCCGCCCCTCTGCCCCCAGCCCGTGTATCTTAGAGGCTTCTCCAAAAGAGGGAGGTGGTGTGCTGTCTCGGATGCTGAAGACTAGTTGATTATGTTCAGAGGAGGCCCTTGCTTGCCTTCCTGGAGCTCACTCCTGCTCTGAAATTTTCCGGACGAGGGTGCTTTTGGGCCTGCACGGTTCAACGCGCCCCACGGTGCTTAGCAAGTTGGTGGGGATGGGTCGCTTGGCCGCTTCTCTAGGTAGAAGTGCAGAGTCAGAACTAGGCCTTTTGTTGGTTGGGGCTGCTGTGATGGGGGCAAGAGACACCTCATTCAAACATGACCCCAGAAATTCCACGGGAGGATTTCTACAGTGCCCCTAATTGTGCGAAGCCCAGGCAGGAGGGAGGCCTCCGGACGTTACTTTGGAGAGGGGTGCAGCCCTCGTCCCTCCAGACACAGGGGCTGGAACCCCTCAGCTTGGTCACCTTGGCAATGTGTGGATTTCCCATGAAGAGACAAAATGTTATTTCCCTTAGAGATTCCTTTTTGCCTCCCTTTCCATGAGCTGTTGTTCTAAGGAGGTTCTAAGGAAGTAACACGAGTCGTTATATTTTAGCTCCCAGAGAAACACAGTCGTGCAGGGTGGGTCTCTAGAATAGGGTCCTTGGGGACGCAGGGTTTCCCGAGACACATTTTCCCTGAAGTGATTGATGTTGCTGAGCATCAATGACACCCTGTGCCTGGACCAGCTCACCTGGGATCTCTCGGTGCCTGACACCGAGAGAGGCTGACAGTCGGAACCCCGCCTCAGGCCGAGTCTGTAGGACCCCGGGTCCCCTGCAAGGAGACAGGGAAGGGTGGGAGGAAGGGCCCCCCTCCCCAGAAGCAGATCCCTGGTGCGGGGCGGTCAGAGGCACCGTGGTGAGGTGTGAAAGCCTGTGCCCTTTCAGAGCCAGCCAAAAAGTAAAAAAAAAAAAAAAAATTGATCTTTGTTTAGATCAACAGACCCCTGACCATGAAGAAGGAAGGCATCCAGACCAGAAACCGAAAAATGTCTAGCAAATCCAAAAAGTGCAAAAAGGTGCATGACACGCTGGAGGACTTCCCCAAGAGCAGCTCGTTCAACCCTGCCGCCCTCTCCAGACACATGTCCTCCCTCGGCCACATTTCCCCTTTCAGCCACTCCAGCCACATGCTGACCACTCCAACGCCGATGCACCCCCCATCCAGCCTCTCCTTCGGACCTCACCATCCTTCCAGTATGGTCACCGCCATGGGTTAGAGCCCCTGCTCGATGCTTCTAGGCCTCCCGGCGAGAGTCCCTCCAGCCCTTTCTACGTGCATTTTTGCAGGAGCAGTATCATGAAGCCGAAAACCGATGGATCTATGTTTTTGAAGGCAGAAAAGCAAAATGACGTTTGCCACTTTTGCAGAGGAGCTCACTGTGGTGTCTGCGTTCTCGATCACTGAATAATCTGGATCCCATTTGTGAATAAGCCATTCAGACTCTCATTCCCTATTTATCAGGGTCTCTCTAGTGCTGTGAAAAAAAAAAACCAACACCCCAACAAAACACAAAAAACAAACCATGGCGAACTTTGCATATAACTTATATTGTAAGAAATACTGTACATTTGAAGAAGACGTTATCGCATCTGGGTAGCCATAAGAAAGGCATCAAGGACGCCAAGGATTTTAAGGAATACGGGGCAGATAACGAACGGAAATTAAGAAGAAACTAGGTCTGCTATTCAAACGGACAAACCGCCAGTGTTGATTCCTTTCACTGGTCACAGTTGTTCGATGCATTAAAAGGAAAAAAAAAAAAAAGAAAAAAAAAAGAAAAAAGTCGTAGGCAAATCATTCGTTCCAAGTGGTGGGCCGCTGTCTAGGAAGGTCTCTCCGTCCTGGGCAGCCAGTGTGGCCACTCGCACGTTGCCATCCGGGGGTTCAGGGAGCCCCCGTCCAGGCCCTACCCGCTTTGTGAACAAGTCCCTGTAATTGTTGTCTGTATGTATAATTCAAAAGCACCAAAATAAGAAAAGATGTAGATTTATTTCATCATATTATACAGACTGAATTGTTGTATAAATTTATTTACTGCTAGTGTTAAGAACTACTTTTTTTGTTTTAATATTTTCCTTCTTTCTCCATTTTTTTTTTTTTTTTGGTTGAATAAACTAAGTAAGGTGGCTGTGCTCCGGAGGGCTTCTTTTCCATTTTGTTTTTTGATGATATTTATTAACTAGCTTCTAAGGGTACAGCAGCATCTGTCCCCTCCCTCACTCCTTCCGCAGCCTGCGCTGTCAGGGTAGCAATGTATGAGCTACCGACGTGCATGCCCGCGACCTCGGCCGGACAGACCGGGTCCCGAGAGCAGCCTGGCTGATTGTTAGGTCTTGCTGTGTTCTGTGTTTAGTGATCACTGCCTCTCCCATACAGTCTGTTGGAATAATAATATAAAAATAAAGTTAAAGCATTTTAAAAAACAACCAAATAACATCGTATCAAAGTGGTTGGTGGCCAAGCTCTTCTAGAATCTGGTAGCTCTAGCTAATGGGAAAGCAAACCCCAAACCTGTTCAGTTATTCGCTAGGAGGTAATGCAAACATTGATTGCTTTGGGAAGCCGGGCATCTTTGGAGCTCTCACTCTGCTGCAGCCCAGAGGCTTTTTCTCTGCCACCCCCTTCCAGGGTGGGCGGCTGGGGGACCTTTTGCATCCCCCCCCCCCCCCAGTGAGCCGCAGCCCCTCCTGCTGGCAGCAGGAGCAAGAGGGAGGATTTCCTCGCGGAGACTGGCGGGTGGATGCAGCTGACCGACCCCGCGGGTCTCTGCAAGATGTGAAGGAGCTGGGCTGGTGCTTGAGTTCATCTCTGTTTTACTTTTCTACTGTCGAATTGAATAACACCGCAGTGGAGGCTTTCTTGGCATGTTTGCGACACACGAAATAACCGTTTTTTGTAACTTAAACGCTGTATAGTTTCCTTTGACTCTGTTGACAGAATGTGTAACTATGGCACACATTTGAAAAATCTCTGTTAAATCGCCTCTCTGCTTTCTTAGCAAATATTTTAAACCTAAAGCTAAATGTTGAAATAAAGGAGTTAGAGACTTAACTGAGATGCACACGGAGATCTTACTGGCTGCTAATTAATGACCTGCGCTGGGAATGTTGTTTTCAGCCCCTTCCAAAGCTCCGAAGGTCGGACTGTTGCCGTATTCGGTTCGGGAGATTTTTCTGGTGTGGTTCCAGTGTCTCAGGATCCGCCACCACTTTTCTTCGGGAACAGATTTGAGACCGTGCTCTTTCACCTTAAGAACAGGGAGTTCAAATTCTTGACATTCTTGGGGGGGGGGGTTGCACACGTACAAAAATCCTAAACTCAGTACTCTGAGCTACATTGTGTTTTAGGTACTGTGGGCGACACTGGCACCTCTGGTCCCCCCCCTCCCCATCCTCCTCCTCCTCCTCCTCCTCCTCCTCCTCCTCCTCCTCCAGGGAAGTGTCATTTTATCATTCTGGCCGTTGATTTGGCTCAGTAAGATATTTCTAGAAGATGGTGCAAAAGATCTACACTACACATGATAACAATGATTCTGTTTCTTCGTTAGGGCATTATCACGTGTTTCCATGGTTTTTTTTTTTTTTCTTCTTCTTCTTCTTCTTTTGACTTCACTTAAATAGAAGATGCTAGAAGAGCAACAGGAGAGGGTTTTACTCTTAGGAAAAAACAGACCGAGGTTGTAGATCTAAAATATTGCTTCAAATGTTTTTGAGGAAACTGTATCCTGTTTTTTTTTTTTTTTTTAAGATTTTATTTTAGGGAGAGAGGGAGAGAGAGCACGAGCGGGAGGGGAAGGGGCAGAGGGAGAGGGAGAAGCAGACTCTCCACTGAGTAGGGAGCCCTCACCCCCTCCCACCCCCACTCGGGGCTCTATCCCAGGACCCCAAGACCGTGACCTGGGCTGAAAGCAGATTCTTAACCGACTGAGCCACCCAGGAGCCCCAGTTTCCAACCTGTTGCGCCTCTCTTTGGAGATAGTTGGATTAGCTTATCCCGAGGAGGTTTGGTTGTGATCCCTACGTGCACATTTGGATGATTTCTTGAAAAAGTTTAAAAAGCCAACCCAATCGAAAAACACTCAGTGACAGAGGGTCACGGGGCGCTTTTACTGTTTAGAGCCCCTCTCTAGGACGGTGGAAATTCATGGGTAAACACTTAGGATGTAGGTGCTTCTGTCAACAAACACCTACAGTGAGTGTCTAGACTGAAGTCCGTTTCAAACCACTTTTTTTTTCTTCTTAAAGCAGACCAGGAAATAGAGAAACCCAGCCTCCCGTGTCTTCTTCGAGTGTGACATTCACATGTTATTCCCCTTCAGGGACGCCGCGCCCTGCGGTGACACTCCCAGCCGGGCCTCTGCCTTGGTCCTTGCCAGGCAGACAGGAGGCCCCCAGAGGTGGGGACACCCGGAGCCCGGCTTCTGAGATCTGTGTCTCTTTTCTGAACCTCCCTCTGGTTTCAGAATTGGTTTTCAAGGCTTGTCCTCATCACAGGACTTCAGTTTTAGTGTTTCCCAATCAAGAGCCATGTGGAGGAGGCCCAGCCTTCCCAGGTACTGCGTGCCTGACCTGGATTTAGTAAAAGAGATCTGCTCCCAAAATTCAAACACGGGAACGCAGATGCCAGCCTTCCTACCCCACCCCTCCGTATTCTCGCAGCAGTGAATTGTCCCATTTGCGTCCCAGGGGTCTCGAAGCATTGTTATTCCAGGCTCTCTTTGGTTTCACACCCTCCTCCATCCTCCACTTAACCCCCAAATGTAGAGTCATTTTTCTGATCTCTCCTGGACAGGGGTCAGCAGAGATAAGAAATAATAATAATAGTAATAATAATTATTATTATTATTTAAAATGATAGAAAGTCCGAAAGAGAACTTTGGGACCATAGCATCTTATATACAGTTTTTACCTTGAAGCAAACATTGCAACTATTATCTGAGACAGCTGAGTGACACGCCGACCCCTTCCCTGCACTTTTTTTTTTCTTTAAGGATTTTTAAAATGTATTTATTTGAGAGAAAGAGTGAGAGAGCAAGAGAGAGAGAGAGAGCATGAGTAGGGGGAGGAGCAGATGGGGAAGCAGGCTTCCCACAGAGCAGGGAGCCCGAGGTGGGGCTCGACCCCAGAACCCTGAGATCATGACCTGAGCTTCACCGATGGAGCCCCCCAGGCGCCCCTCTCTTGCACTTTCAAATGAACTTCTGAAACACGTTTCCATCTTGCTCAAACAGTGTGAGGACACCCTCAGATTGGACGTGTCCACACCGTTGGTGGAAGCGCAGTACAGTGGCAAGATGGGACCTCAGAGAAATTCACTGATCCCTTGAACGTGTGGCGACAACTGCCGTGGAGTCTGAAAGCTTCAGTTTCATCCCGAGCTCTTTCACCGATGACCGGAATATTCTGAGGCCATTTGTTTGATTTCCCTGGGAATCGACTCTTGATCTAATTGGACTAGATAATCTCTGAGACCCACCAGAGGAGACAAATACGATGATTTATTTCACTGGATCTTTTTCTTTTTTTTTTTTTTTTTTTTTTTTTTTTTTTTTGTTTTTTTGGAGAATACCCTTTTTTAGGAAATACGTTCTCACAGCCACTGTCAGAGTTTAGAGCAAGGGATTATAAAAGCCTCGAGGGATGGTACGTCCTAAGACTCCACATGGGTCATTACGTGGGTCATTCCGCTCCCATCTGTCCTGGGTGCTATCTTGCAAAGACAAAAATTAACTTGTATTTTGTGACCGTCAACCCAGGATGGGAGTGAGTGTCCCAGTCTGCAGATTCCCTATTCTTTCTGAAATGTGTCCAGGCCCCTCTTGAGTGGAATACACAACAAGACTTGCTTGTCCTGCTGATGTTGGCAGCTCGGTTCATATTTCAGTCATCCATTGTGTAAAGAAACTCTGCCTGAATTGCTTACAGGCTATTCTAGGGAGATAGCCAGAGCCCAGTGTTTCATTTTCCCGGTGCCCCTTCTCTGAGGGGAGAAGCAGAGGAAGTGGATCAATGTCCCCCCCCACCCCCCCACCCAAAGCAGTTCCTTTTAGGGTGCTCTGTGAGGGCTCTGCTATCTCCAGGCCCTTCCTTGCTCCCTCTCCAGCTCCTTTGCAGGGGATCCCGGTACATTAGCCACATTGTTTGTGGTGCGTTTTTACAATTCCCTGTCATGTCTGTGTGCAGTTTGGCAGGCTGCGCATTGGAGTGGGGATTTGGAGAGCCGGCCCGCTGCCCCTCCCCACCCCACCCCACCCCCGTGCCCCCTGCCCTCTCCCCCCACACCCTGCACAGGTCTCAGGCTCAACAACACAAGGCCTGCTTTATAAAGCCCCAGCCCCAGCCCCAAAGACGTGCAAACACCTGGAGGGGAGTTTGTGTTCCGATGGAAGCAGCTCTGGGCTGAGAATTGTGCAGCTTAGGGATGTGTGTGGACGCGGGCAAGGCAATCAGCTCCTGGAACGTGGGGTCCCAGTTCTGTGACACGGTCTGCAGGAGACCCGGCTGCAGAAAGATTGGATGGTGTCTGCAGGAGGCCCAAACCACTGGGTAGTCGACTCAGAAATCAGCCCACCTGGGTTTTCCTTTATTTTTGGCCTTTGGCATAAAAATCTTCTAAAAAACAAAAGTTTTGTTTTCTCCCTTTGCTTTTTTTTTTTTCTGACTGTCAAATTCGTTAAGATTTTAGTGAGCAAATTTGTAAAGCACATTTGCAAACACACATACACACACACAACTTAAAAAAATTTTTTTAAAAAGATTTTATTTATTTATTCAAGATAGACATAGAGACAGAGAGAGGCAGAGACACAGGCAGAGGGAGAAGCAGGCTCAATGCAGGGAGCCCGACGTGGGACTCGATTCCAGGACTCCAGGATCACGCCCTAGGCCTAAGGCAGGCGCTAAACCACTGAGCCACCCAGGGATCCCCCCAAATTTTTTTAAATAAAAGAAGTGGAAGAAACTGAGGACCTTTGAGGGGGTTGCTGTGAAACCGGCCATGTGCATTCTGGTGTTTGCATAGCTTCTCTCAAATGCCTTAATGAATTTGTTGGGGCCACGGTGGGGGTGGAGGTAGGGGTGGGGGTAGGAGGGGCTTGGGTTTGGGTAGGATATTTGCTTTTTGAGGTCATTAAAACTCCATTTCACGAACTGGATGGGATCATTAAGTAAAATCCACCTGGTAAGAAGTGGCCGCCCTCACCTTTCCTGTGGTCACCCCCCCACCCCCCATGCTGGGACTTCCATTTCGGGACCGTGGGGAGGAGAGAGGGGTCGGTGCATTGCTCCAGCACCAAGGAGCCTCTCTGAACACACCAGCGGCTCCAGCCGCAGCCCCTGGCCACCCTCACCGCTGCCTCGCTGAAGCCACCTGGAATTCCCTCCAGCGACAGTCCCTGCAATGCTGAGGCCAAAATTCGAATTCTCTCCCACGGGCCTGGAATCCTGTGTTGGGCTTGTGAGCTGACATGTGTCAGATGAACCTGAGAACCTGAGTGTGTGAAGCTGTGCTCTTCCTCACCTTGAGCGTCTTCACACCCACCTCGTTGCAGCAAGCTGGGCCTCCTCAGATAATTCCAGATTTCCAGTGGTCATCTGGTTGGGTTCAGTCTTCTGAGGACCCCACGACTCCTGACACCTGCCTGGACCTGCAGGGACCTCCTGGAAAGACGAGGGGACTGGTGGTTTGTTCCATCTGACTCTTGGGATGGGGATACTAGACAATTTGGAATCAGTGGGGAAATGGGCAGGGAGCTGGCCATTCAGTGCACGTGGGCTGCCAGACAAAGCGCATAACCCAGAATCCTTCCCACGGAGGCATACTGGGAGGAAGGCAAGGTGCGGGATCTTCCCACTCACTCGCCAGAAAAGCCCTGTTGAGTGGGAAGATTATTACCTCGTTTTATGGATTAGAACACTGTGGGGCAGAGAGGGCGAGTTAACGTGCCCAAAGCCACACACCTGGTGAGCCTGCCACGTGGAGGAGCAGCCGGGTGTACTGGGCTCACGGGCCACCCCAAGAGCAGGAGCAGTGGCCCGGCACATGCACCACAC